GATCAATCACCTTTTTTTTAAATATTTAAATATTTGACATAATTAGACCTCTTGTCTTAATTTTAAGTTATCATAAAAATTAGAAGAAACTATGAACAGACAACCTCTTATAACTATCATAATTTCAATATAAATAACATTTTTGAAGACAGATAAACCAAACTACAAAACTACTAACCTTTTTTTTTTTTACTATGTAAAAAAAAATTATAAGCTTCTTATTTGTGTTTTTAGATTCTTGTTAGAGTCTTATAATGCTGCTTTTATGAAAGCAATTGGTAGCATTTAAATTAATACAATCAAATTCTTTGTTACAAGTCGCAATCTTAACTTTATATATAATTTTTTGCATTAATAAAAAATTAGAAGGTCTTAATATTACAACCTTATTAGTTTTTTTTTTTTGAATTTGATGTTTGATTTTATAGTATAATTTATAATTTCATAAGTATTAGATTTATATTTATAAAACTCAAAAACTATGAAGATTATAAAAACTACTAATCTTTTTTTTTATAGACCAGTAATAATGAAAGTGGTGAAATATTGAATTGTGAATAAAGCAAATAGTGAAGTATTGAATTGTAAGTAGAGAAAATAAAAGTGAAGTATTGAATTGTGAGTGAAGCAAATAGAACTATGAAGTATTAAAATTGCAAAAAAAACAAATAGAACTGGTAAAGCATTAAATTGTAGGCAAAGCAAATAGAATCAGTAAAGCATTGAAATTATGAGAGGAGCAAATAAAATAAGTAAAATATTGAAAATGTAGTGAAGCAAACAGAACCAATGAAGTATCAAATTTGTAAATGAAGCAAATAGAATCAGAGTTAAAATTATGAATGAAGCAAACATAGTATAAGACCAATATTTCCAGTTGTATTTAATAATTCAGTAGAAACATAAAGTTCAGAGTCTACTAATTCTTTTTTTTTTTTATGCTTTATAATTACATTTGAATTTATTATTATAATTTACAATTTTATGAGTATTGTATTTGCCTTTATAAAACTCAAAAACTACAAAGACCATAAAAACTACTAACCTTTTTTTTATAGGCCAGAGATATTGGAACTAGTAAAAGATTGAATGCAAATAAGTAATGAATTGAGGGCAAAATAAGTAGAACCAATAAAAATTGAATTGTAGACAAAGCAAATAGAACCAGTGAAGTATTAAATTGTAGATAAAGCAAATAGAGTATAAGACTTCAATATTTCTGATTGCATTTTATAATTAAGTAGAATTTCTAAGTTTACAGAGTCTACTAACTTTTTTTTTTTGCTTAGTTTTATTCGAATTTACTATTATAATTTACAATTCCATAATTATTAGACATGTTTTTATACAACTTGAAAACTATGAAGATCATAAAAACCACTAACCTTTTTATAGGCCTGGTGATGTTGAAATCAGTGAAATATTAAAATTGTAAGAAGAGCAAATAGAACTGTGAAATATTGAATTATAGTAATACTAGTGAAGTATTAAAATAGTAGATAAAAAAATAATCAGTAAAGTATTAAAATCTTAGATGAAACAAATAGAATTATAAGATATTGAAATTGTGAGAGCAAAGCAAATAGAGTATAAGACTTCACTATTTCTAGTTGCATTTCATAATTTAGTAAAATCAAAGTTTACAAAGTTTACTAACCTTTTTTTTTTTTTTTTTTCTTTCTTTTCTTTATTTTATTTTATTATTATTATTTTTTTATTATTATTTTTTTCCTGAATTTTATAATTGTATTTGAATTCACTATCATAATTTACAATTCTATTAGTATTAAGCTTGTCTTTACTACAAACTTCAAAAACTATAACAGCTGTAAAACTATCAACTTTTTTATAGACCAGTGATATTGGAACTAGTAAAATATTGAAATTGTGAATGAAGCAAATAGAACTAGTGAAGTATTGAAATTGTAAGCAAAGAAAATAGAACTAGTAATGTATTATAGTAAAGAAATATAATATAAAACTTAAATATTTCTAGTTATATTTCATAATTTAGTAGAATGTAAAATCATGAGTTCAGATACTAATCTTTTTTTTTATATATAAATAGTATAGTTTTCCCTAACATAACTTTGTGTTAGTATGTTTTAGCTCTTGAGATTATTAATTCAAAATAGTGACTACATAATTTTAAATATATTAGGTTTTTACTATGCTATTATTTATAGCTTCATCTAGATATGTACATATCTATGTACCAAGTGTTCATAATGTTTCTAAGTTGTCATTTATATATGAAATCATTATATAGTAGCTACAGTATATATCAATTTTGACTTTTATATTTAATAGCTAATGTATGACACATACATGAAAGGTAAAGTTAGCTAAGCCACTAATGACACATCTCATTTGACAAACTAACATACACAAACTTGATGAGTACAAATAATCATCAAATAATCATGTAGATTTTAGCATCAGCTAATTTCAGCATTAGTCATAATATTTATTAATTATAATAAGAGTATGACAACCTAGTAAAGTGAATAAGTTGTCAACCCTTAAGTAACAAGTCTAAGGTTCAATTTTTACAGATAATAAATTTTGAAAATTATACCTATGTTATAATAACTGTTTCTTGCCGATTAGTTGGGTTTTAAGCATCTGTAATCTTAGATACACAAAGTCATATTTCACTTAACATTAGGAGCTCAGGGTATCTATATAAAGTGTAACATTATATGTATATAGAGAAGTATGAAAAACTAATGTTATATAAGACTTTGATACAAATCTGTAATAAGACCATTAGGCATAAAAGACTAAAAAACCAAGAAGATGAAAACTCACTTAGAAATTCAGAATAAAAAGATAACACAAATTTTTGATGATGTTATTAGACTAATAGAAGCTTATGAAACACCTTTTAAGAACTGTTGGATAAACTGAATAACAAAGATATATAAAGGAATATATGATTAACCATATTACTAGAATTGACAAAGGAAAAGAATACATAAGTATACTATACTGAGCCATCTGATTGAAAGTCCGAAGAGTCAATTAGTTCCAAGTTACAACTAATAGAGAATAATAGAAAAGAAGTCAAAAAGATAAATACCAAAATTTAGATGAACTTTATAAGGGTAATAACAGTTTAATAGGTAACTCTGACTGCAAGTATTGGTTTTAACTATAGTATCAAACCAGGTTAATGGTAAAAAGGAATATGACTCATTCTGGTAGGTTTGCTTCAAAGACAAAAATAGTCTAAGGATTATAGTCCTATAGTTAAAAATAAATAGATCTGAGTCTGTGACTTGGTAAAATTCATACTAGGATAAAATCAGATAATTTAAATGGAACATCTAAGCAGAGGTGTTAGGTACAACAACTGATAGGGAACTTTTAGTCAGACTTCTTAAATAAGTAATATAGAAAAATTACATGTATAACCAGTTATACACTCATCTGATAGTTCAATATAGATACATTTGTATAAAACATGTACCTGACATATATATTAATAAAAAACTAAGACCAAAGAGGTCATCTAAAAAAAAAAATTCTATTAATCATAATATTTACCAAATTTACAATATTTTTTAAAAAATTCTTTTAATTTATCATTATCTAATTTTTTAAGAAATATATCAATGACTGTTAAAGCTTGAACAAGATCCAAATTCATTTGTTCTCTTTCAGATAAATGTACAACATTGATATTTTGTTGTACTTGAACTGAATTATTAGCAGCAATTTTTGCAACTTGATATTTTGTTGAAATAAGAAGATCATTGAGTACTAATTTTTTTTTATAATTCAAAACTATACAGCAAGCACAGCACATTAACAAAGCACCTTCAACATAAAAATCTTTTCTATATTCTGGTGTCGAATATGGTCCCTAGATTCTATCACATGCAGTAACCATTTTTTTTATTCAAAAAAAAAAAAAAAACAAAATCGCACAATTTTTCTTTTATTTAAACTTTAATAATAAAGAAAACTTTTTATTTTAAACTTTACTAATAGAAAAAACCTTTTATTTTTAACTTTATTAATAATAAAGAAAACGATTAACTTCCGATTTTACATTATAATAACCGATTTAATCAATCAACCAATCATTTATTAGAAAAATTCTACGGATTCTGCTCAGGCAGATTTTCTGCTTTTCCTGCAGGACTGCGCCAAAAACCGAATTCTGCGCAGATTCTGCCGCCGCAGACCCCTGGACACTCTACTTCGATTATAGTTTCCACGCAGGAGCTTATATTTAAAGAAATTTTAAGCCTATATAATAAAATTATTTTGTTTAGCGAAGTATAATAAATTATGATACTATAAAATAGTATTTTGTAAAGTGAACAGGATAAATTACAGTCAACCTGGAAAAGTTAGTTATAGGAAATTACTATGTTTTCTTAAGAACCATGGCACTTTCTATACTAAACTGTTATGAAATTTAAAATTTAAGTTCGTTATGTCCAGGATTAGTTATATAGGGGTTCGTTATATCCAGAGCCGACTATATAATAATACATTAGATTATATGAAAATGTATAATTATTTTTTTAAAATATGATATTATCAAGAAAATAAAACTGTATAGCAGTTTGGACACGACAACAAACGGTTGTAAAACGTAAATAGTTAAATATAATTTTTTTAAAAGTTCTTTTTATTCGATGAATATTGCTATCTATTGCCAGGGATACTATATCTCAAAAACTTACTAGCTAACACATGTCGGGGGTACTAAGTAAAATGTTCAGGACCTTCTAAAATTATACCCTAACCTTAAATTTGATAAAAGAAATAAAAGGCATTGCCACCGGCGATAAATGCTAAAATTGTAATTGAATATGTATTTTTTTATCGAAAACACAATCGTAGATTTCTCAGGTCCCTGGACGACAGTAACACGAATTATTCAACGAACCATAAAACGTTAACATGTGAAATTGATAAGTAGATGATTGGCCAATCAAATAGGTTCACATTTTGGATCTTTCAACTCTCTTTACTACTTTAACATGCAAAAAAGTTGGCCAATTCTGATAATTCTTCTTGTTGCTCAATTTATCGGACTTGGCTTATTTTCTAGAGGTTTTTTTCCATACAAGGCAAGTTTGCCCGGTTTTTCTACAATTGAAGAGCTCCCTAAACTACCTAATGGAGATAAAGCAACTCCTTTAGTGCCAAAATTCGATAGATTAGTTTTTATGCTTATTGATGCTTTGAGAAGGTTTGCTTTATCAAAATAATTCTTTTATAGACTTTATATTATATTATTTTATTTAAAAATCATGATTGTATGTTTAGTGATTTCGTTTTTGGAGAGAATTCTGATATGATTTTTGTCAAAAAGTACGTATAGTAATGTCATCCTGGATCATATATTTTTAAATTCTCACATTTATTTTCTTAGTCTTATAGAAAACGGTCGTGCAATACCTTTTACGGCGATCGCAACAGCACCAACTGTTACTTTACCAAGAATAAAAGCGCTTACTACTGGTATGTATTTCAAATTTTTTCTAATCCGTATATTTTATACCTAATTTCTGTACTTTCAACTATAGGAAGCGTTCCAAATTTTTTGGATGCTATTCTTAACATTGCAGAATCAGATACATCTTCATCTTTATTATATCAAGACAATTGGCTTGTACAAATAAAAAAGACTGGTAATAAATCCATCTCGTTTTTTGGTGACGACACGTGGATTAAGCTGTTTCCTGGCGTGTTTAACACCACCGATGGAACTACTTCTTTTTTTGCTACTGTAAGTTTATTAATTTAATAAATATTATGAATATTTTATATATATATTTATTTTTTAATTCGATAAATTATATACAAATCGTTTATTCAGGACACAATTGAAGTTGATCTGAATGTCACACGAAATGTAAAGCCACAGCTTTCTAAGCCAGATTGGGATGTTTTAATATTTCATTATCTCGGTTTAGACCACGTTGGACATTCGAGTGGTCCACACAGGTAACAAAAATTCTGTCGTGTATAAATTGATTCTTCAAATTTCATTAAATGATTTTGTCACTTGCAAGTCCCTTGATGAAACCAAAACAAAGAGAGATGGATGAAGTTGTTAAAACAATTTACGAAACTATCATAGATCAAGATACTCGAAGAATCCGAATGAACAAAAATGCCGAACCAACATTATTTATATTATGCGGAGATCATGGAATGAATGAGGTTTATTTCATATTTCCTCGTATATTTCATTATTACGAATTGCCATAGTTATATTTACTTATCTAAAACAGTTTTTGTTTGTTTGTTTTTTTGACGGGTGTAAGCATAGATTGGAAATCATGGTGGCGCATCTATTGGCGAGATAACTACTGCATGTATCAATTAAGATAAATAATCCATAAATTTGAACATATCTAGTGCTATAATAACGTGATTGTTTATAGGCTTTTGTTTTTATGAGTTCCAAATTTAACACGGTGACGCATGCTCGTGATGCGAGTACAAGTCACGACGCACTTTCTTTTCGATATTATAAGGTCGTGAATCAAGTTGATATTGTGCCTACATTATCATATTTATTTGGTATTCCAATACCAAAAAACAATTTAGGCAAAATAATACTTGACTTACTTGTAGATACTAACGGTGAGTGTTATGATTTGCAAGCATATAAACAAAATTGACAAACTTTTTAATTATAATATTTATAGAATTTGAAAAATTGCGGGCAATGCAATTAAATGCCCATCAATTGTCTGGTATACTACAAAATACTTGGAACTCTTTTGATCGTGACCCTGACGTGACTTTACAGAGTGAGAGAAATTGTGATCAAAATTCTGATGATGTTAAGACAAGATTACAATGTTTGTATTGGTTGTCATATTACTATCACGCGATGGCACTTAATTATAATGATGAGAATGATATCATAAATGCGTCGTTTTTTTATGACAAGGTGTGTTTAAAGCTAGACTATGAACTTTAATTGTGTCTTTATAAAAATTATCTAATTTATATATTTAATTTAGTTTATTTCAGAATCAAGTTCTTGTCTTTCTTCTAGTTTTAGCGATTATGATATTGGTTCAATGTATTGGGGATTGTTATTTATGGGGTTTGCTGCTGTATGCTTCATTATGATATTGGTAAACCAAAATGTTCGAAGACGAAAACAATTCAGAAATTGGGAGAAATATAATAGGCTTCAATTTCTTTCTTATTTGGGTACATTTTGTTTATGTATTACTATGTTTTCCAGTAGCTATGTAGAAGAAGAACACCAGTTTTGGTATTTTTGGATACAAACGATGTGGCTGGGATTTATTATTTATAGGTACGCTTCACATTTTATCTTACTTTGAATAGCTTGGAATAATTTAATAACAATTCTATATTACATATGTAATAATTCAGCTTTAGATCAAGTAATTATGTGAATGACCAGAGACTTGCATTATTGTCAGCTGGTCAGATGATACTTATCCGCACTATTCGTGCTTGGAATCAAACAGGTCCGTGTCGTCAAGACCAAATTATTAACAACCTCAGCTTTTATTCTACATTCATGACTTTTATATTTTAATATAGGTCAAAAATTCGCCGGTGAAATTGATATACGGTTTTACCTTAATACATCACATGTATATTTTATGTGGATATTATTTTTCTGTTCAATGTTGATATTAACCATTATGACACTACGAGAAATTCTGGTTGCTAGATTAATTCAAGGAAAAAATATTCTTCAAATAGTTTTGCAATTAATCGCAATCTTGATTATATTATTCATAATTCTTTCAATAGCTAGATACAAACTAGAAATTGATGGTGGATCAATATTATTCCCTAACATTTTTTCATGGTTAATAATGATTGTTCCAATAACCTTACCAGTTATGTTGGCACGAGTGATATACTCCACAATCGGAATAACACTAATTCTAATCTCTTTACTACCCACGTTACAGAATAAACTTCGTGACATTCAAGGTGTGCTGAACTTTTTTTACAATCACATATATTCATTAATATAATTGCTAACATTAATGACTATTAACAATAGCTCCAAAGATAACATTATTTCCAAGACTTTCACTATACCTCATTACATATTTACTAATGCTTCTATCACGTCCTCACAATTTGTCCTTATACTTGTTATTTTTCGTTCAATATCATCTATTATCACAATGGATTCATATTTCAATCTCATATGGCATTGAAATATCACCAATAACACTCAATTTTATTCTAATATGCTTAAAATTTGTGTCATTTTTCGCATTTGGAAACTCCAATAGTTTAGCAACCACAGATATAAGCAATTCATATATAGGTGTAACTGCATACAATCCATTGTGGGTTGGAACGTTGACATTTTTAGCAAATTGGACGGGTCCCATTTGGTGGGTGTTTGCCGGGAATTTGTTGAGATTTGAAATTGTTGAAAGGAGAGTTTTTATAAATCATACCGAAAGAAATAAAAACCAGAATGAGGGAAACGCTGATGAATCAGAAACCTTACAAATTAACAATACTAGATCAAATACATTAACATCATCGGCAATATCGGCATCTGCAATCGCCACCAAACAAGAACTCAAACGACATCAATATCATACATCACTATTTCAAATAGCTACATTTTATTCATTAATATTACTTATATTATCGATTGCAGTTACAATATTGAGAAATCATTTATTCATATGGACAGTGTTTTCTCCAAAGTATTTATATCAAGTTGTATGGTATACCTTGTTTTTGGTAGGAGTAGAGTTTATAGTAGGTGGGGTAATGTGGGGTGTGGGGTTGAATGTTCTAACGAGAGAATGAAATTAATGAAATTGAGCGTGAAAATGAAAAGTATTTAAGTAATTTAGAGAAAATCTATATAAATATTTTGTCAATTGGACTACAGTGTAATACCGAGTTATTACTGTAATATTCTTATATCTGATTAGCCATCTCTGAGTCTAAGTATACATTATGTATGTTATATATATATAAACGCAAAAAAGATATGTAATGTGTTTAGTGATGCATATTCATATGCTTATTGCAGTTTATCATATGAAAGTTCTTATACATACTATGTTTTTAATCTTGAAAAATATAAAAAATAACTGTTTTTTTACCAGGGAGGAAATTCACTCTATGTTTTTAGGCATCAACTTTAGGTTACACGAAGTTTCGGGAGTTCTGAACATTTTACTTGGCATATCTGAGCCGTTTCTTAGTCCCGCTTTGAGATATTACACCCCGGTGAATTTCCACCCAGTTAAAATAGCAATACTCATTTTTAATTTAAAGAGTGTATATACATGGATATTGTTATTTCTCAAAATTTTTATTAATAATGCTACTTTTGAGATTGGCAAAAAAGATTCTTTAAAATTTTAGCCTTTCTGTAAGTTCTAAACCTAATTTTACCCTAATATTAAACGGGTTAACTTTTTTTAATAAAAACTATATTGCACGAGTGTGCAAATCATTAATTAATACCCGGTACACATACTACGTATTTTCTATTTTTATTACTATATTTCTAGAAATTTAATTTCAAATAGCATTTATTAAATAAAATATCCATTATAATTTTTTTAACTTGTTATATATGCTATATCAAAATTACCTAGGTTAGAAGTCTTAATTTTTTGATTGGTTGAAAAATTCTATCAGTTAATTAACGATCTATTATGCATGATTTATCTTCGCTTTTGATTATTTTCTCTTTTGTCGTTAGGTGAAGAACTATACCTTCTGTCATTGGATGAAGAATTAAACCTTCTGTCATTATATGGAGAACTAAACCTTCTGTTATTAGATGAAGAACTAAACCTTCTATCAGTAGATGAAGAACTAAACCTCTTGTCATTAGGTGAAGAACCACTAACTCTCCTCTCACTATAATCATCAAATCGAGTGTGCGTCGAACTCGTTGCTAGTTCATGTAAAGAAAAAAACAATAGTTCGAAGAAGCATATTTTCAAAATTAAAGACTAAAAAGATCAACCTAAAAGGTCAAAGGAATGATTTAAACGTACCGCGAACCTCATCCTTTGTTTCACGTTCTTTTGGTAAGGAATGCATAATAAAGCGTGCAGCAGCAGAACGGTTGAGCGTTAATGAAGGTTGCGGGGGGTTGATTGTATTTTCAACCCTATTAGAACTTTCTTGAACACGTTTCTTAAATGTTAAAGGTAGAATTGTTAGTGCTATTAAACATACTATCAGCGTAGCTATAAAATATTACACACCTCTTGTTCGAGAATCTCTTTAGCCTCAGGCTCGCCATTAACTTCCAAATACACTGTGAATAACGTGTTAGTTATTAGTAAGGCACATAAAATTTTAGTCGTAAATTTCCTACTGTTCAAATAAGACGACATTTGCCTTAAGAAAAATAGAGACTACAAAGACAAATTTTAGACTTACAGGAAGTAAGCTTATTGCAACAATACGCATATAGTAAATATAGTCTTGCGCGCTCTGCTGGTGGAAATCTTGAAGCTACTTCGCTCAAAGGTCGAGTAAGTAGTGTGTCAAATATAGTCTCGATCCTACTGAAATCTGCCTCTAATTCTGAAAAAAGGTTATTCCCCTTAACATCACTCATTAACACGCTGTTATCACCACCTTTAGTGCAATTTTGTTCGTCACTATTATTGATACTAGACATGTTTTTAAACTATCAACATACAAAATGAAAAAAAAACTGACAATTTGCTCTAATCGTAATACAGTAATATCGAGCAAAGTTGGTTGATCGGCAATGTGCACCTAAATCTAGAATATTCTACGACAGTATATAACTTGTTGATGACAATCACTACGTAAAACTAGAAGGTGAAGTGAATATTCGTTACATTGTATTAATACCGCATAAAAATTTTATGAGATAATAAATTGCATAGTACACTTATTAAGCTGATGAAAAACTCATTTTTGTTGGATTTATTAGATTAAATTAATAAATTAAAAATCGAATAAATCAGGATTGTTTCAGGATTGGATTTTTTTTCTTATGTATCTATCTGCTCACAAAACAACTAAAAAACTTGGAATTTCATCTGATACTTTGAGACATTGGTTAAAACAAGAAAAAAGATATCTGCAAAGATGTTTTCATCTGGGACTCATCTCTATAATATTTCTTCTTTTTTTTCAGAATTGATTACTTAAAATGAGACATCAATTTCAAAAGAAATGGTCTTAAAACTTTATTAGAATGATCAAGTAAAGGAATGGTCTCAGAACCCACAGAGACAGATTATGCAGATTTGCATATGAACTCATTGAGTACATTTTCTTATTACATTCTATGAAACTTATGGTTCTCTTCAATGAGTCAAATTCCAATAAACATGAATTATTCTAAGATATCCTTACTATTAATACTGTGTTCATTTGTAGAATGCAAGAACAAAGAATTGCAAGATACAGAAAAGAAAAAAAAAAGAAAAAAGATAATAATTGTTTGAAAAACAAAGAAATAGAAACTCAAAATGAGCTTGAACAGAACATTGTTGATCAAGATGTATCTAAATCATATACAGAAAAAATTTTAAAAAAATGGCTTGAATTAATAAAATTCACTTATAATTCAGTTGTAAGATAGAATATAAAGAGATGTTTTTTCAATACTAATAAATGAAAAGAACGAATAAAACCTCAGATATTAAAAAACAAGTTAAAACTTTATTTGAACATTGAAGATAAAAAATTTTACAAAATATGTATGTAAGATGAACAAAAATTTATTAGGAATGTGATATGATTAGATCTTCAATTAAAAAATCTACATGACAAAGTTCTTATGAACATTATAGATGAAAGCATCAACAAAGCTCTAACTGTTAAAATAAACATAATACAAAACAATCTAAAAGATATCAAAAAATCTTTTTTGTCATTCAAATCAAAAAAAGATCTAAAATAAATGATGAATGTTTATACTTAGAATTTTTCAAAAAAAGATTTAAATCACTTTTACATATCTTATCTTTATAATTACAATTCTCTGAAATATAAATGTTACAAACCTAATGATATTATGATTAATGAATGAGATCTGAGATCTTTCTATTCAGAGAAAAAAAGAAGAAACAATAATTAACCTCCCATTAAAATAGATTGTAATTGTAAATTTACTTACTTATATAAAATTAATGAATAGATCTTTCATTAGGTTCACAAGAAACAAATATGAATTTGTGAGACACAAAATATAATTCATGCTGTCTTGATAGATCCTGATATCAGAACTTCATTTACCTGATATTCTTCTACAAAAGGTGCTGAAAAGATTGATAATCATAACATAGGTCAAATATATAGATTATACAAATACATGGATGATCTCATCTTGAAAAAAGATAAATGATCTGATTCTAAATCTAAATGTAAGAAAAAGAAAATTTTTTGTTTGGACAAGACCATGCATAGAATAAGAAAAAAAATCTATAGATTACAAAATGAGATCCATAGAAAAATGATCAAATTCTTAACAGATAAATTTGACATTATCATGATTCCACCTTTTGAAACATCAAACATGATTAACAGAAAGACCAGAAAGATAAACAAGAAAATGATGAAAAGAATATTAGGATGATCTCATTACAAGTTTAAACAAAGATTGATCTCAAAATCTGAGGAAAAAGGTAACAAAGTGATCTTTCAAAACGAAGCTTACACTTCAAAAACGTGCAGTTGGTGTGGTAATATGCAAAATATCAGTGGGTCAAAAATATACAAATGCAAAAATTGTAACATTGAGATTGACAGGGACATAAACGGCACCCGAGGGATACTCCTTCGGGCTTTGCTTGATGGAGCCATAATCTTGTCATAAGACATCTTCATGCAGGAAATATATAGTAACTTTACTTAGTAATACTTAGTATTGATTACTATTGATGTATTACAATCCATCCGTGTTTAACTAGCCGTTCAAATGTCAAACTATATTTGTAATAGTAAATGGTCTTGAGCCAAGTTTACTTCTTTCAGTTCTGGCATTCATTTTTAATTTCTAAACCAAGGACTAATAAATGATTAAGCGTTATTGTCATCATTATAAATTCGGTAAGGTTTACCCTAGTAATAAATTAAACTAAATTGTGAAATATTAAGTTTAAAAGGTTCAATATTAAAAAATCTGGCCTATCCCTTCGACATACCCTAAGAATCTATAAAAAAAAAAAATTTTTTTTTGTACATCTCTACCGATTCTTAAATATTTGAATTTAGTAACCGTGTTTAACATTATTGCCATTATATATGTTCCTCGGCGAGATTTATGATCTCGAGCAAGATAAAAGTTGTAATTCAGAATATTGTAAGTTACAACGATGGAAATAAACCTTTTATATGTCATATTAATGAAAATAAAGCATTCAAAATGCACAAATTTAATTTGTATACTTTAAGTCGAAAAAATTGAAGAATCGATTCGGGCTATGGTCCAATAAACAATAACTAAATAAACTTTAACTAGATTTGTAAAAATTATGTATATCTAACATTGGTCTTAATAGACTATTTACCTTTGCAATTATTTTGTTTTTGTGACATGATAAGCAAAGCAAATACAGTCAGACCTCTCTATAGTCACCTCACATTTCCTTATAATCACATAAATTTTTAAAACCAACCAACTTATATAACACATAAAATTTAACCTCTATATAAACACAAACTCTTTAGAAGCACCGAATTCTTAAAACCAAGGGTGTGATTATAGAGAGGTATAATCTGTTTATTCTGTATAAGTATTTCTTGCCTGATTATAAATATACATGGGTAATCTAAATAAGAGATTATTTTTAACTGCCTAAATCGTAAATACTAGTATGTTGAAAAGAATTTAGATTGTTGAAATATTTTAGAATGTCGAAATGTTTTAGATTGGCGAAAATATTTTAAGATGCCAAACATTTTATAATCTCTATAAACTGATATCAAAGATTCATCATGTATGAGCCTTATCGAAAGAAACCATATTTACGGTGATATATTAGATGTAATTAAAGGCACGTATACGACCAGTCGTTTTGGCATTATGCTGTATGTCTCACTAGTTGTTATTAATACGCAATTAATAAATATCGATTAGGAGTAATTCAAGAATTGACCCTGTGCTTTGTGCGATGTGTAGTATAATATTAAAGAATCATATGTAATATAATATATCAATACTTTTCTATTTAATAATAACAATTACAGCAGTTTAAGATAGTTTTGACAGTCTGTAATAATCGACAGCTATAATAATAACATCGATAATTTCGACGGGCAAAAAAATTTCGCCGCAAACCATTTTGAAGCATCACAGCGAAAATATTAAATCCTATGTAATTTAGACACCCATGTATATATGTAGTGTACGAGGAACTTAGTCGAATGAATTATCTTTATTGGAAAAATTTTACAACATTCTGCGTGAAATAGGACTAAATCATCCACGCGATGCACACCTCCGTATCATTGTAATCGGTTCTAATCGTTCTAACCCTAATACTTTTTATTTAGTAACAAACACTCCAAATTACACTGAATCGTATATTAACAATCCTGACTTTACAGCGACATGATGTGGTCAAATATTTATAAAATTGATGTGTAGGAAAAATCTTATTTAAAAGAAATTTTGTACTTTTTTAGAAAATGTAAGTACGTGCGTACTTGCTTACATACTGTACGATCATCAAGTCAATATTTTTGGCATTTTGTATACATTCAGAGTTTGTAAAGTTGTAATCTGCAAATCCTTTAAATATCGCACGTACATCAGTTTAACAAGTTTACATCATGGATACTACCTTTGAAAATGTTAGGCAATGGAAAAGTGATCAAGTTTCTAATTGGTTGCAAGAAAATAATTTTAAGGAATACCAAAAACTTTTTACCGGTATTAATTTTTAATACAAAATATTATTTATTTTGAACAAGCATTTGACACTAAATTGCGGATATTTTTTTTTTAATTAGAAAATGACATTAATGGAGATGTGCTTTTAGAACTTGATCATGAAATTTTAAAAGAGTTAAAGATCTGGTCTATTGGTGATCGACTTAGGCTCTTGGCTGCTGTGAGGTCTTTACTGAAACTTTGTGCCGGAAATAATTTACATTATTATTCCATAAATAAATATGCTAAAGTTTGGTTTTATTTTTTAATTAAATATATATGTATAATTTTGTGGTTCTTCATGCATGGTTAACACTATTTTTTTGCTTATATTCTTTAGGAACCAATTTCACCTGAAACTGACAAGTTTCCAATTACTCTATCGAGATCAAACTCAAATGCTCGTACACGAGCAAGATCAAATTCTACTAATCGTGGGCATTATTCTCCGAGCTTACCTTCGGTAAATGTTATGTTTTATAAGTTGATACATTACAACAACAAAAATTTTTGAACTAAGTTCACATTTACTAATTTAGCAACAGGAAGCTAATATAATGCCTATCGAGAGTATCAAGCAGGTGATTTTATTTTATTTTTTAAATATATATACATATTTAGTTATTGTATAAAATTCATATAATAATTCCTTTTATTTATTCTAGAGTGTCATTAAAGTTTATGGAGAAGAAAGTCAAACGCGAACTATTTCTTTAAACAATATCATTGATGCTAACTTTATTTTAAAACGTATCTTACAAAAATTTAATATGAATGAAGAAGACGTCGAAAATTATTCATTATTCGCCACTCTGTGTGATACTGGCGAAAGTATGTCGTTTTACTAAATTTAGATTATGATTATTTAGTCACAAACAAATAACTTTTAATTTGCTTTATAGCAAGAAGTCTAACTGATGAAGAAATAGTTGAAATATGTAATAATGCTGATAGACCAGAACGTGAAAGGCTTACTTTGCGAAAGAAACATCTTCCAATGAGTTTTGATCAGTCAAAAAAACAAAAAAAAGATTTAGAAAAATTTTTTGGTGAAAAACCACCAAGTAATCCACAAGTTGGAATCTCACAAAAGAAATTAAGGGATTTCTTTGGTCAACGTCCTCCTTCTGAATTAATTCAATTAAATTTGACGGAATACTTCCCTGGTCATAATAGTGAAGAGCTTGAACGCAGTGTTGCTAGAAGTTCTATTTATAGAAGAGTGTCAAGAGTTTCTGCAGCTTCTAAATTTTCGGTGCAAAAATCGAAGCATACATCTAAATCATATGATGATAATGATAATTACGATAGATCAAATACTGTCACTACTTCTAATTATAATAGTGATAGATCAAGTACAATATTGGCTCCTTCGGTGAGTTCTAGCACAGCCATTCAAGAAGAACAAGAGGAAGAACTTGACTACTTTCAAGATTTTGATTATGAGGACGATGAGTATTTTATGTCTGATCCAGAAGATGGTAAGTGAATAACGTATAATTCATTTTATTACATCTCTTAATCGCAAATAATTTCACAATTTATGATTTTTGTAGTCGAAGAGAATTCAAACCTTAAATGGATAAAAGGTAACCTTATAGGCATGGGTTCTTTTGGTAGTGTATATCTTGGACTTAACGCTTTTACTGGAGAATTCATGGCAGTTAAGCAAGTGGAATTACCTACCGAAAATTCTTCAAATAATGAACGTAAAAAATCTATGGTTAGTATAATAGCTGACTTTATTAAATAACGAATTGTTTTTATTGGTTATTTATTATGGTTATGATTTTACATAGTTGGATGCTCTACAAAGAGAAATTGCACTCTTAGAAGAACTGCATCATGAAAATATTGTGCAATATCTTGGTAAGAGATAAGTAGTTTATTTTAATTCGTTCCTATTTGCAAGGAAAGAATGATGCATAATATTTTACACACATTTCATAGGTTCACAGCTTGATGAGGGAACATTTAATATTTTCTTGGAATATGTGCCTGGTGGATCGGTAGCTTCAATGCTTAATCTCTTTGGCCCATTAGAAGAAAATTTGATTCGATCATATGTTAGACAAATTTTGCAAGGACTGAATTATTTGCACGAAAAAGACATTATACATAGAGATATTAAAGGAGCTAACATTTTAGGTAACTTTCAGATTATTTTTTGCTTTTGCTTAATAATTTTTTTATATTATAAATTTATTAACTTTAATTTATATGAATTTAATAAAAGTGGATAATAAAGGAGTAATCAAAATATCAGACTTTGGGTTATCAAAAAAAGTTGATCGTATGTTATTTAATGATTTATTCTTTAAACTTATTACATAATTCTTGTTCATTCGTAATTATCATGCAACAGAATTTATGGCAGTAACTTCAGCACAACGACCATCATTACAAGGCTCAGTGTTTTGGATGGCACCAGAAGTTGTAAAACAAACACCTTATACAAGTAAAGCTGATATATGGAGTTTAGGATGTCTGATTGTTGAGATGTTCACCGGAGATCATCCTTTTCCAGAATTTAACCAGACACAAGCGATGTTTAAGGTATAATCAATTTAACATTATTAAATTTTAAATGTCACATTTTTTTAATTGATATATGTAAATATAGATTGGACTACAATCTTGTACGCCTAAAATTCCGGATGCTATTTCCACAGAGGCACAGGATTTCTTGAGCAAAACATTTGAACCGTAAGTTATCCAATGATATCAGATATACACTATTTATGATAAATAAACGGTAAAATTTAATTACGATTTTTTTTCTCTTTTAGAAATCAAGATGATCGACCAACTGCTAAAGGACTTTTAACCCATCTATTTGCTGTTACGAATAACAATAATTCATAGAAAATAACATTATCGTCATAACTTTAACCTTGTATTTTATATTTTAGAATTTATCCATTTTATTTAACACAGATATAATGTATAGAGGATTATTTTATAAAAATTGTAATAAAATGTCTTTTCATATAATCTTTGCTATTTGTGATAAAAAACAATAGAGAAAAGCTCATTAGAAATAACATAGAATTACTAATTACTCTTTAAAATAGCATTAGTAAAAAGTTTGAAGCAAAAGGAAACATCTAATATGGTATAATAACTTTAAATATACCTCCTTGCTCAAGAATTTTTTTTTAAAAACAATTTAAGGTTAAATGGCACTGAATGAAGTGATTAATGCAAATGAAATGATCTGTACGTAGTGGTAACCAAGTATTTATCTGTTATGGTGAATTTCTATCCATTAATAAAACTTCTTTATATTCATGGCAGGGACGGTGATATCGAATAAAAAAATGGAGTGGAAATGATATTTATCATTACGAATTTAAATTGCTGATATATAAATTAATAACGATTAAATGTTCTTGATAATTAAAATTGTGGAGAAATCTTAATTTTAAAATAAAGAAATTGCAATTACTTAAAAGTAATTTCTTAAGTCATTCCAAATGATTCTCTCCATAATATATAATTACGAATGGTAGCTTTCCGAATTCCCATGGAATACCCGACTAAGATAACCCTATTTTTTATCTATTTCAACTCCAATTCCTAAATACGTAATATATTCCATTAGAATTATTAATGTCTGCCGATTTTTGATAATGTATGAATGCCTTGTTTTCATTATTTTCAAACCCGATTCCATACTCGTAAAAATATCCAAGCAAATATATTCTGCTCATATTGAAACATTATTGATTAAAATCATCAATTAATATCTCCATTTTCCATTGGTTTCGTCAGTAGAAAACAGTCAGATTAACAACACTTTAAGACAAGTCACTTTCGTTATTGTGAAATCACCCTATAGCGGATCTCTTGTTATAATGGATCTCTCGTTATAGCGAACTCATTAATAGTGAAGAACATTTATATAAAAACCCTCCTAACATAGTGAATTTGGTGAGACTTTCAATACAGGTCACTCTCGTCATGACGACATGATCGGATTACTAATATCCGGACAATGATCCGAATATTTGTCGGATTATCCGGATATCAATACAGTCATCCTCCCATATAATCACACAGTTGGGCACATAATAATTTTTTTAAAAAATGTGCTTATAAAGGAGTTGTGCTTATATGAGAGGTGACTATATGGAGGGACGACTGTTATAAGTTGACACAGAGTCAACTATTCGAAAAACTAAGCAATATCCTATTATCGGCTATCACATGACCGCTGTGACCAATCAGATCACGTGTCAGAATCAGGAGAGGCATCGGGTAAATGGACCGACCCATCAATGTAACTATCAGTAACGTCATGCTATAGAACACATCATTATATAAATACAGGCTCCAAGTCGTAGCAAAATACGAACTCTAATTCGCAGCCAATTTAACCTTTATCAAATTTCTGCTAAAAAAAAACAAAAAAACAAAACAAAAACAGTAGCAACAAGAGTTAACATGAGCAAGAGCATCAATACAGACAAGACAGAGGCACGTCCAGCAGGTGACACATTAGTTGAAACTGACTTTTTCAAAATTGGCAGTAATAAAAAGGTGTACATTAACACAGCATGCCAAGCATCATCAAACACAATAATTATAGCAATAAAGTCATATATTGATCAAAACAATAAGACACACAAGAATATAATTTCTAAACTAAATGAAAGTTTAGACTTATGTTTCAATCAAATTTAGCAGACTCATTGTCAAGACACTACTAGCTCACAGCAACATAATAGCTTTAGTTTACAAGAAAAACTAATAATATGAAAAACATAACAATAATAATATTAAAAATTAGCAAGATAATTGTCTTTTAATATCTCTTCTTAACAACTTAATAATTAGCTTTAACAGTTCACAAGATACAATATACAAACTAGCTATGACAGTTCTTCTACTATTTTTTTACTAAATGGAGCATTTAAAATAAAATAATTATATGAAAGTACTTTTTATCAATTATAGTAACACTTAACTATTTTCAGTACATGGTTTTAATAATTCTTAAACTATTAACACAAAACATATTTATTTTTAATAAGTTCTTAACTAGGTTAAAGGTCAAAAGTTTATTGAAATGTTACTAATTAAACCAAGCTTATCAATTTACTTATAAAAAAATCTTAGCAATCAGCAATTATATTGATTTATATGAGTTCATCTATACAAACTTAAAAACTAGTCTTAAAAACAACACAAATAAATTAATACTGCAAACATCTAAAAAAAACATCATTGTCATTTGTAAATAAAACTGTACTCAAAAATTTAATAATATATCTAAATGGTTTTTAGTTTTTAGGACATACATAAAAGCAGTTTTAATAATTTATGATATTAAAGAACAAGAACTTAATGCCTATTATGATTACATTAATATGTTATATATTAGACAAAAGTTCTTAGCAGTTATTATATATGATGAAGACTAAAAATTAGATTTGACTATGAACTAAGACTTTGCTTGAATAAAACATTAAAGCTAAAAGTAAAAATTTCAATATCACAATAATAAAAAAATACTACATTAGTATTACATCAATTGTTCTCAGATCTGACATCACTTGACATGATGAAAGACAAATCTGCATTAATTAAAATCTTAGAAAATGCATTAATGATAACAACTGCAAATAAGTTTATATCTGTATAACATGTAGAAAAACTAATCACTTGTTATGAAGATGTTTTTTTAACAAACCTGCATTACTTAAACAATCAAACAATCAAAACTCAAACCAAAATCCTACTAAATAAAGTTCTATAATCAAAAAATATATATATATACATATATACATATATTCATATATTATACTATATAACATTTCAGTACAGATATTTAAAAAAAAATCTTTTTGACTAATATATTACAATATAAGAATCACATACTATAGATATATAGTATGTATTAGCTTATAACATATTGTTATATATAATATGCTTAGCAACTAACATATCCAAATAGAAAGCATTTTAGCAATAATACAATATGCAACACATATAAATCAAATATAATAATAATAATAAACAAAAAAATTTTTTTTTTAAATATTAAGGTAAGTACTTGTCACTTAGAATTTTATTAATAGTATATTTGGCTAATAATTGCATTGCAATCATAGAAGGCAATCATAAAAAGAATGTATAACTAGCCACTTATACAACTTTAGTCATTGTCTAATTTAAGTAGTCTGCCTAAAGATTTTATATTAGTTATATATCTGGAACCTATCTGTAAGTTTCTTATTTAACTATTTTAGTTTTCATATCTATCCACCTATCTTTGTTTACTAATAACCCTAACTGATGCTGATAAAAATATGCTATGACTACTAAGTTTTTAAAATAATTTATTCATATAGTGAATCTTTAACCTTGTACTAAACCTTCTAGAATCTTCTGTATTCTATTCTTATAGCTAACTCAGTATCACTATAGCCAAACTAACACTAGTGGTCATGATGTACTATTAAACTGTATGCTCTTGTAGAGTTCACTCCAACCCTAATACTAACTTCATAATATATTGTAATATTATAGATATTTTTAAACATTATTTTATATTATTTTATTGATATTATATTAGTTTTATATTATA